GTCCTGGAGCCAGCACTGTGGTGTAATGGGGTAAAGCCGCGGCCTGCAGTGCTGGCATCCCATATGGGTGTCAGTTTGAGTCCCGGCTGCTCCACTTCCAATCCAGCTCTCTGCTATGGCCTGAGAAAGCAGTACAAGATGGCCCAAGTCTGGACTTGGGCTCCTGCACCAGTGTGGGAAGATTGGAGGAAGCTCCTGGCTCCTGGCTTTGGATCGGCGCAGCTCCGGTGGTTGTAGCCAATTGGGGTGTGAACCAGCGGATAGAAGACCTCTCTCTCTCTGCCTCTCCTTCTCTCTCTAACTCTGACTTTCAAATAAATTAATTGAAAGAAAAAAAAAAGACAGTCTTCTCAGAAAATTTAACAGTCTCAGTTAACTGGCAATTCTTGTCAACATAAAGTCCCAAAAGTAGACAACCAAAATATATTACAAATGTGTCCAGTTGAGTTAGTTCTATCTTTATAGTTCAGAATCTTGTGGGAGTGTGATCTCTTCCTGGGACAACACAAAATCTCTGGAGACATGTAAACATTCTTCCCCCATCACCGTAATTCTCAATAGATAACTAGAGCTAACTATTACAAAGTACTTTAGGATAGCACATTTCCTTTCACATAATCCTAGCATTTCAATCAAATGTAACAAGTATTGATTTCCTTATTATTAATACTACTATAAGCAGTTATTAGGTACTTCCTAGGAGTTCCTACTCAAATGTCTAAGGCCTTAAGCATGCAGAAGTCTACAATACAGGATCAAATGTTAATAAATGCCAATTTAAACAATGTAGGCAACACTGTCATCATTTTAGAAAAGAAAGAAACAAAGAGTCCAATAGCTATAAAAATAAAAGAATCTTTGATCAGGCGAGGCTATATCCAAGTTGTTTATTGACTATTATTTATCTCATTATAGCCACTAACCTAAGATGTGACCTTAGGAAAAGAAACAATAATACCAATATACCTTAAAAAGGTGACAGAACTAATGCAAACGAATATCAAGTTCAATTATCCACAAAGTTCTAAAGAAATGCTTCCCCCATCACCTTAATTAATCGCCACTGATAAATGGCAATGCCTTAGGGAATACCTTTGCAGAAGTGCCTTTGACAAATGCAGATTAGTCCTAACTAGGTAAATTTCAATCAAAAACCATCAACTTTTAAAGAGAAAATAAATCAAAATAATAAGCACTTATGATGTCTGCACTCAATGAGAATAGCACATTTCACAAATATCAATTAAAATCTGTGACTGCCATGCCAAGGAGAAAAATTATATAGGAAACATTAAACTAAGGTTTCATTTAAATGACTAGCCAAAGTGTCATACCAAACCAGCAACAAAGCTAAAGCAATCCAAGAAACCTTCAATGCAGTTAACTATTACAGCTTACACAACACAGCATCTTTCTCCATGAAATGCAGACTTCTCAAAATCCTGGGCTTTCTACACCTAGGATACAATCTATAGCTAGGCATCCTTAGAACAGAACATCTGCTCTTTCTGTTTGGAATCCATACTGTGTATCACTAATTTTATTTTAAATAGATCCAATGTATAAGAACAATATTGTAGAACACATAAGAACATTAGCAAAGAATTTCCACTTCAAACTCTTTCTCTCTTCCCAAAGTACATAAAAACAGGTTACTTGTCCTAACAGAGGCTTCGGAGGCAAGTAAAAACCCCTCTTTAGAACTACAAATAGACCTGTCCAGGTTGGTTTAAAACCAACAGAGCCTCAAGTCCCTCTAGCAAAACAATGTCTGACTTTCAAACTCAATGGGAAGAATCAGAAAATTCATTCTGCTTTTAGTTTTTTAAGCCTTCTCCAGCTTAATGTTGGTAATTTACACAGCTTCCTAGCTAATTTATTAAGATTATGAATAATATGAATAAGGTCATTTTCCCAGACACTTAAATATACTTAAAATATAAGCCATAAAGTCATATGTATGCTTGTGTAGGTATATGGATGACGTTGTGTGTGTGTATAAATCTATTAAGAAATAACTGAGAAACATTTACATTCTCTTAAAAAAATATAGACAATAGAACACGGGTGTTCCAGCTAGCAAACCTAAAATTATTCTCACTTTTCCTTTCCAGAAACATCTCTAAGTCTCTTTTATGCTAGAGATAATTTATTTATAAAAATAGGTAACAAACAATTCTACTAAAAAATTAAACTGAAATTTTATAGATATAGGAATATAAAGAATTTTAGAAACTAATCTCCAAATTAAGCAAAAGATCCTGCCACATGTATCAGAAACACAAATACATACATTTAGAACTAAAGCTCTCAGCTCAAGCAAAATGATCTGAAAACCTGAAAAATCACCGGTGTGCTTTCCTCTCTACCAACAGCAAGGAGTGGAATATGTCTGATACATAATACATAATATAGTGAATTATATCATTCCCAACCTTACTCATTCCTCACCATATTAACCCGTCTACCCTAATAACATTAAAAAGAATAAAAATGTAAAAATAATCATACATGAACTTTCATAAGGCTTATCATTTGCCACATGAATCTGAAATTCTAGTGAAAATGTCTACTCATCTGAATGCTTGCTATGAGACATTAAAGTGACCTACTCTCTTTTATGGTAGTATCTCATAAAAAGGTCCCTTTCAAGGGGCGACACAAGACCTACATAAAGAGCCTTTAATGTAAATTATTTTTTTCTCATCTTTGATGTTCATTATTAGGAAAATCACAGATAGATGTACTGTTTCCATGCAAACTAAAGTAGAAGAAAACATCTGCAGTACTGGATTTTTGCAGTATACCCACTACTGGTTCTTGTCAAAGATTTCAGATATTTATGAATTTATACTTATTTGACTAGAATAAAAAGTTAGCAAGAGTGTATTTATGTGTATATGCATCTTTACATATAATTGTATATACACATATAGAGACAATAAGTGTATGCTTAAGGGCAGGGACACTGGTTTTTATCCCAATCATTCAATGTCCATCTTGCAAAAAAAAAAAAAAGGGGGGTGGGGTGGGGTAGAAAACATGAGATTTTAAGATTTACAATAGAAAAATGTTTTTCTTTTAGAACAATTATTATCAAATAACCTTACAAACACAAGCAAGAGGAAAATGCCATGAAAGGGCAATCTAGCATTTCACAGCTTCTGTTCCTTTACTCCACCCAGTCTTCCCAGCTCAACGGCTGTTCACAGCATCCACAAATATTACCCTATTTTTTTTATAAAAGGAGGTGGAGAAGTAACAAATGGGGCTTGCTCCATCAAAATCAATACATACAGAAATATTTAATATGGAAAACTGGGTTCCTTTCTTGGATTTTAAAAATACATAGAAGTTTTAAAACTGTTTTAGGAGATCCTCCCCTTCTGAACAATCTGAACAATGATCATATTTATACTCTTCTGCTTTAATTAAAAACTGCCATTTGCCACTGCCAATTATTTTGTAAAATTGTGTCCTCAAAGTCATCCATTGAAAGACTAAAAGCTAGCCAATGCCTTAAAATCAAACGAGAATTTTTGAAGTAAAAGCTTTTACTATATACTCAACATTATACCACTACCGACATACCCAAGCAGGAAATTTCCCTGATTGAGACTGAACCCCGCAGCAATCAAGCTCTGCTGCAGCAGGGGAAAAAAAAAAAAAAAAAGCAAACACTACCGTGGCAAAAGGGGAGAGATGACATTATAACCGGTATGAAAGGCCGAGGCACCGTCTCCTCCGCCCAAGCCTCAAAAAGAAATTCACACAAAACCCACCCTCAACAAAAATAGAATTGTCAAAAACGGCACAATTATTTTGTTTAGCCTTTAAAAAGGATTGTGTACTTAAAGCAGAGCTCGGAATAACAGTCATCTCTTCATCTTTCCCCGATCGCCTCTTAAGGAGAGGAGGAGGGGGACCTTGGCATGACATCGCCCATTGAGAACGAGACCACAAATCCGGTCCTTCTCCTCAAAAGCACAATTTCTCAACCAAAGGACAGATACGAACTGGAACCCAACCCCAACCCCAGAAGATGATTTCCTGCCCTCCTGCCGAGGAGTTCTTGCTAAGTCATGGGAGAAAGGCAGAATAACAAATAAAGCACCTTGCTCTCTCCTCTCGGAGACACTGAAAACCTCCTCTGCGCTGGTAGGTCTGGAGCGGCAGTCAAAACCTGCCCACCGCACTTTCTCACCTGGGAGGCTGGGAGGCCACGGACGCAGGCACTGCGCCTCCGACACGAGTGGGGGGACTCGGGCAGAGATGGAGGGGAAGGGCACCGGGCCTCGAAGCCCCGAGGTGGCAACGTCAAAAGGCAACTCCCGTCCGAGGAGCCAGTGGCAGGCAGGAGAGCCCTGCCTGACTGGGTGGGTGGGTGGGTGGGTGGGTGCAGGGGCTGGACCACCGCACTTGGGGGCCGGGGAGGCGGCGGCCAGGGCTCTTCTCTCTAACCTAAGGACAGGTGGGGGACGGAACGCCCGCAAGGCCCTGCGGGTGCCGAGCCCGGCCCCCGAGCCGACCGCGGCGGGTGGGGTGGAGACTGCGGAGCTGCCTCGGCGGCCGGCGGGAGGAGCGGGGCCCAGCCCTGTCCCCAGGATCACGGAGCGACCTGCTCCCCACGCCCTTCCTAGCCAAGAATACTTTTCTTGCTAAGTCACCGAAGGGGGAGAGCGATCCCTTCTCCGGGAGGACCGCGGGTGGAGTCGCGGCGGCCCCGGCACCCCCAGGGCCAGCGCCAGGGAGGACGCGAGCGAGGGCAGCGCCCTCCCCGGCCGGGCCCCCCTCCTCCCGGGTCTCTCACTCAACGGCCGTCGCGGCCGCCATTTTGAGAGCGAGGAGAGAAGAAGAAGGAGGAGGCGGCGGCAGGGGGAGGGGAGAATGGGAGGGAGGGGACCGGCGCAGCCACATCGTCAGGCCGCCGGGCCCGGCCCGCGGCCGCCCGAGCGCGCTGGAGGAGACAGAAGGGAGGGCGCGGAGCCTCGCTGCCTTACCGGAGCGCTGCACCGCCGCCTCCGCAGGGCCTCTTCCGTCCTTCACTCCCATCCACCGGCGGGGGAGGGGGGAAGGGAGAGGGAAGGGAGGAAGGAGGGAGGGAGGGAAGGAGGGAGGGGGAGGATGGCGCGCTGGGCCCGGTCCCCGGGAGGGGAGGGGGAGGGGAGCGGGCGGGCTCCTCAGCCGTTCCGGGGCTCGAGCCCAAGCCCGGCGCTCGCGGTTTCTCTCGCTCGCGCCCGAGCGCTCCTTTCCTTCTCTTTCTCGCTCCCTAGACCCTCGGGTCGCTGCTCGTTCGCTCGCTCACTCGCTATCTCGGCCGCCGGACTCCGCCGCCGCCCCGCCGCTCCAGCTCCGTCTGTCACAGGAGCTGCCCCAACGCCCTGACGTCACCGCGCCGCCGCCGCCGCCGCCGCCCCAGTCCCGCCAGGAAGAGGGAGGGGAGCGGAGGAGGGGCTGCGGCGCATGCGCCGGACTGAGCCGGCCCTGCACCGAGCTGCCTTCCGCCTTGCGGGCCGACCGCCCCGGCCGGTGCGGCTGAGCTGGAACGGCAGACGCCTAGCGAGTTTGCGCGCGAGGCGTTGTTCCTCACGCGTCTGTAACCTTGAGAAGCGGCCCTTTTCTCCTCAGCCCCTCGTCTGACTGTTGAGGCCCCTCACGAACTCGCTCTGCCCATCTCCCGCCCCGCCTGTACCCTCCTGCGGTGCTTTCCCGCTTCCCCGGTGGACAGCAGGCTTCCGTCGGCAGCCGTGCATCCCGGGCCCCGGGTCGGGTGGGGAGCAGCAGAGCCCTGGCCGGGCTGCGTCCCCTTCTGCCTCGGGCTTGCGGGATTATTTCCCAAAAAACAGTAAGGAAGCAGGTTGATTGGCTTGGGAGGAAAAGCTGTTGAGGTTAAAAGGCAGATGGAGTGCCTTAATTATCTTCATTTTTATTATCGATTATTAATTGGGAGGATTCGCTGTTAGATGTGATTCAGCTGTTATCTTCCTTAGTCATACACACACATACACATCAGAGACTCGAAGTCTCAAAACTGACGCCCGAGGAAAGACCTGGAACTTCATCCCTACCAGGAATGTCTGAGTGTGTTTGCTAAATTATGGGCTGAAATATTGATGACAAAGAAGTGGTGGGGATTTGTAGCCAATTTATTCCACACAGAGACACTTCACTTTCAAAAGGCCAGATTTGGGGTTCTGAATAATTCAATATTGGATATTCTTTTAATAAGAGGTATGGAATGAGAGTATTTTATTATTAATTAGTATTATCCAACAAAACTCTTTTCCTGAGACAGGGCGGGCTTATGTTGACTGGTTTTATTACTCCCTTTTATGAAGGTAAATACGTGGAGTCCATCGCATTTGGGAGGCGGCCTAGCTAATGAAAGAGACAACTTAGATGTGAATCCTGGTTGGGCCTCTTGCTGGAAATGTGACCTTGGGAGAATTACCAAAGAAAAAGAAGGGAATATCTAACTTTCAAGGCTTTTGAGAATTAGGAGATGCTACACATGGAAGGTATCTCACTTTAGCGGGGACTCAAGGGTAACCCATGGAACCATCACTGCTGCTTGCTAACAGCAAGTTTGCTTTTATCAAGAAAGTCTACGTGTTTCCCTGGCAGCGTTCAAAAGGAACATGAGCCAGTTGTCTCAAGGGTTTGGGTTTTCCCTTTCACAAAGGCAGGGGATGAGACCGAATGGTCTCTTGAAAGGGCTTTCCCAGGTTTCCAGTTGTAGGATTTCTCTAGATACGGATGTCAAACGAAGCACAGAGGTGCCGTGTGTGCTATTACTTACGTCCAATCGCAGCCAATAAACACAATACCATACATCCCTTCCTCTAAGAAATCCCTTCTTTCGTTTTTTCCTTTTGAAATATTTATTAGTGCTGATAACACGTTCCTTAATAATTCATCAGCTTGGTAAATCACTTCTTTATTACTTTTTTTAATGAATGCTCTAAAAATCAACAAAATCTCCCAGGAAGAAATTGGAAACATATTGATAAACAGTGATTGAATACAAATGGGTAACACTAACTCCTGTAAACCTTGAGCTCAGATTCATGTTTTGAGAAAACTTAGAGTCTGTATTGTGTAATTATGCACTCAAATGAGGTCAGATTTACAGCAATCCTTCAGAAAATATTAACTCCCTTTGGAGAGAAGTATAAACACTTTATCCCTAGACTGTGATTTTTCTGGACAGAAAACTATGTTGTATGCTTAACTTGATGTGAGGCAATGGGTTACGGTCTATGCACTTGCTTTCCAGTTGCTTGCTAAGATGACAAATCCATTTTAATAAACACTTGTCTATTGGAAATGGAGAAGAGAGAAGTAGTCTATGTTATCAATCATAATTCACAGGGATTTATACAAACTCCACTATATCCAACCAAAAAACCTTTAATAGCAGACATTTTGGATGATGTGTCTTGAAGAAAAATTAAGTTTTAAACATCCATTTTTCTTACCCTATCTAACAATCTTTCCTTGTTCGGTTGAATTGCAAATCTTATTTTTTCCAGCAGACATTTTCAAAATGGAAAACATTTGTTTCGTTTGCTGCAGTAAAATTAGTGTTAGTTTAAACAATTCTGCAAATAAGCTAACTGGAAGAGACACTCCAAAAATATTGCTATTGGGAAGAGGACGAATTGTCTTTTTTTTTTTTTTAATTTTTTTTACTCTTATTTTTTTGACAGGCAGAGTGGACAGTGAGGGAGAGAGAGAGAGAGACAGAGAGAAAGGTCTTCCTTTGCCGTTGGTTCACCCTCCAGTGGCTGCTGAGGCCAGCGCACCGCTGATCCTAAGCCAGGAGCCAGGTGGTTCTCCTGGTCTCCCATGGGGTGCAGGGCCCAAGCACTTGGACCATCCTCCACTGCACTCCCTGGCCACAGCAGAGAGCTGGCCTGGAAGAGGGGCAACCGGGACAGAATCCAGCGTCCCGACCGGGGCTAGAACCCGGTGTGCTGGTGCCACAAGGCGGAGGATTAGCCTAGTGAGCCGCAGCGCCGGCCGAAATGTCTTCTAAAAGTATCTCAACAGCAAAATCTATTTACAATAAGCACAAATGTTAAGATACTATTTTAAGAATAAACTATCCTCTATAGTCAAATGTACATTGTTGTTTGTGAAAACATTTTAAGAACTAAATAAAAAAGCAATTAACCAATGGTGAAAAGGCCGCTTTTGGGAATACAAGTAAGAGGAATCAAGGCCTCACCTAAAGAACCATGACCCAACTTGTGAGGGTGTCCTCTGGGAGACTTTAGCTGATTAATTTATGTGCCTGCATCTCCTCCAAACGTGGATGTGTCTGAGAGGGCAGACCAACTGGACAGGTCACTCCACATCTCAGCACCATGACATCCTCATGTGTCATGGACAGGGGGAGTCATGGAAGCAAATTACAGGCTATTAACACAGTGAGACTCTCATCCTGGGAGTAATAGGAATATTTAAAAGCACTTTGTAATCTGGAATAAGAATATATAGAAAAATCATCTTAAGTACTAATAAAAAGAAAAATATAATATGAAAAGATAACGCCAGCTTCATTTGAGATGTCTCTCCACAGGCTGGGACAAAGGTAAAATAAGCTTTCTTTCCCACTCCCTTCCCTTTATGCCAGTTGTGTTTTACCTACTGGAGCAAAAGATTAATTATCTGGAAGTCTTAAGGCTTTATAAAGGAGGTGACTTAAAACAGGACTTTAAAAAGTGGCAAGAATTTTAATGCATGCATTCAATAAATATTTACTGAGTGCCTTCTGGGTGCCAGCCTCTGTGCTGGCTGCTGAGTATAGCTAGTGAACAAGACGAACAGAATCCCTGTGCTCACTGAGTTTATATCCTGGTAGGAGACACAGAGAAAAGAAAAATAGTGACAACAGAAGTGACAAGCTATGAAGGCACTAAGCAGTACCGAAATGGAGAAAAATGGAATGGACAATATTACTGATGGTAGTAAGAAAAGACTTTTTTTAAAAAAATTTATTTATTTGAAAGGCAGAGTGAATGAGAGAGGGAGGGAAAGACAAAGAGACCTTCCATTTGCTGTGTCACTCCCCAAATGGCCGCATGGCCAGGGCTGTCCAGGCTGAAGCCATGAGGCTGGAACTCCATCCAGGCCTCCGACATAAGTGACAAGGACACAAGCACTTGGACCATCATCAGCTGCCTTCCCAGGAGGATTAGCAGGGAGCTGGATGGGAAGTAGAGCAGCTAGAATTCAAAACAGTACTCACATGTTTAAGCCAAGACTTGAATAGCTGTAAGATTCTAGATTATGGAAATGCAAGTGCAAAGACCATGAAGCAGGAAAATATTTGCTATGCCCAAGAAAATGAAAGAGGATCTACACATTTAGAGTGACGTGAGGAAGGAGGCTCCCTGGCTGCACTGGTCCAGAAGATCAGAGTCCTGTTTTTTTCCCTGAATAGTCCCCATAGAGTAAGATAGTGAGAGACAAGATCAGCGAGACAGGTACAGAGGAGATGGTGCAAGGCCTAAGAACATGCTAGGAATTCAGGGTTTCATTTTTGTGGCCATTGATGAAGGTAAAGCCAAAAGAAATCAATCTCTGACCCTGACTTTTGATCTTTTTTTAAAAAAATTTTTATTTATTTATTTATTTGAAAGTCAGAGTTACACAGAGAGGAGAGGCAGAGAGAGAGAGACAGAGGTCTTTCATCCACTGGTTCATTCCCCAATTGATCGCAAAATGGCCAGAGCTATGCTGATCCGAAGCCAGGAGCTAGAAGCTTCCTCTCGGTCTCCCACGTGGGTGTAGGGGCCCAAGGAGTTGGGCCATCTTCCACTGCTTTCTCAGGCCATAGCAGAGAGCTGGATGGGAAGTGGAGCAGTCAGGAGATGAACTGGCACCCATATGGAATGCTGGCACTGCAGGGTGGCAGCTTTACCCACTACACCACAGTGCCAGCCCCGACTTTTGATCTGAAGAATAATTATTTCACCTTTATATTATGAAAAATGTCAAATACATAGAAAAGTAGACAGACTGAAATAATGAGTCCTCATGTACCCATCACTGGATTGGACAATTACAAACTCAGAGCTCATCTTGTTTCATCTATATTCTTTTTTTTTTTTTAATTAATTTATTTATTTGAAAGGTAGAGT